GCAGGGGGGGGGTTGTGCGGGGAGAAGGGTGCAACAATGAATGAATGGAATTCCAAAATCTCTGTAGATGTTCATTGAAATGAAAAATAAACAAACTAAATTAAAATTTTTAAAAAAATGCATAGGTCTGTTTAAAAGCTTGTAATGTTCTGAGAATTTGTTCTCAACATGAAACAAATTCATACTTATTTTTAGGTTAGCTGTTGTCTTTCTAGTTGTTTTATTACCCTACTGTGTTTTCATAGATGGTTTATCTCTTTTTAATGTGCACTTAATTGATAGTCATTTCACTTTTCTAAATATTTTTTACAATGTTTTTTAAATGTGATTGACATTTCTGTGTATGTTATTCATACAGCTTTATATGGTATACCCTTTAGGATAAAGTTCTGCATTTGGATATAAAATACTGTGTCTGGAATATACTGGGATTCAACCTTATATAATTGTTAATGAAATTTAAGGAAATAGGTATACATATATAGTATATATTCCTAGATATATGTATATATAAGGTTATCTTTATTATCTAAAAATAGATTTTAAAATTACTTTCTAAGTGGGAAAAGTTTCATAAGTAAATCACTAAAAATGTCACTTTCCATTAAGTAAAAACTGTGTCACTTGTGTTAGAATAAAAAGGGAAAGACTATATAGTCTGATAGTGAAATTAGTGATTTTTCTTAAGTATTTCACAAAACTAAAACCATTAACAGAAAATTGTGCATCTAAGAAAACCATTGCTCTATTGAGGATTTTAATGTAGGGAATTGTATGACTCTTTACACACCTAGTAAAGAACCGACATTAGCTACATGCTGCTATTTAAATCCTTGCCTTCAAGTTAACCTAAAATAAATATAGAGATTAGCTGATTCTTGCTTCATGTGATTGTAATTTTGTTCATTCCAGATAATAAACAAATACAGTAGAAAATAAGCCTTCTATTTGATTTGTTAATTTGGTTCTTAATACATGTGTAAAGAATGAGCTCATTCTCTTTAATTTTTTCCATGATCAGAAGAGTGAAAAGCATAATAGATGTATCCAGAACTAAAATTGTCTTTTCCTACTTTTCATCCTGATTGAACTTTTTCTGCTTATTTTTGTTCTTTTCCTTGTCTCATTCTTATTCTCAGTTCTGACTTTTCTCTTACATCTCTTTACTGAATTTCCTTTGATCCCAAAAACTCACTGCTGTTGAGTCAGTTCAGACTACTAGCAACCCTCCTTACAATTTTCAGGGGTGTAAATGGCCTGTCTCCCTGGAGTTGCCTGGGATGGACAGTAGCCTTTGGGTTGCACAGCTCACTCCACACTTCTTTAGTTTAATCTGAGTGTTAAAGTCACATCAACATGAAATCTTGACTTCTAGATAGAAATTATGATGGGGAAAAGGCAAAATTTAGACAATCAGATGATAGAAAGAAACTTCAATGTTTTTCTCCTTTTATCTGATAGTTTATACCACAGTTTCTTTAGCAGACTGAATGATTTTATCAATATCTGATGAAAATAGAAATAAATTATTCTCTTTATCAAACATGAGTATTCGAGAAACTAAGACTTGAAACTTTAATTTTTTTTTAATAAGGCATTAACAATTCTGAATGTTTTTCTTTTCCTGCAACAGAAATAAATTATCTTCAAATTTCTTATTGCTGTCTTCCAACTTCTCATTGTTTTTGGTAACTTCTCATTTGTTTGGTATCTTAACTCTTGACCAAAATTTATAATTGTATGGGAAAATTTCAAAATATTTTAAGCTTCTATGTTTCTTTTGTAATTTTTCTATTTATTTTTCTTCTGTTTGGTGCTTTTGCACATATTTTTTTTTCTCCCCCTTTGACCAAGGATGAAAAGCCAACAACAAACTCTCTGCTGGGCGTGTGGATTGGTGAAACTGCTATTCCTTGTACTCCCACTGTAGCAAAGGGGAAATCCAGAGCAAAAATGAACTGCGCTAAGTGAGTGTCAACTTTTCTGCATTCATTGAAGCAAGTGTTTTTAATGATATTCTATTTTCGTTTCTGTAAGGGCTTTAAAATGACTATTAAATTCTTAGCTCTAATTAAAATTTATATTAAAGTTCTTATATTTTAATATATCAAAATTTTTTCAGTACAGTTGAATATTTAAAATGAGTTTAAAATATTTTTCCCATCTTTTTTTAAATTTTATATTGGTTTGCTTGCAAAGTTCATAAACATATTTCAAACTATTCTTCATTTATATTGTGTTTCATGTAAATTGTTTTTCTGTTTAGTAGGTTAAAAGCACAAAATCAAGAAGAAGAGCTTATGAAGTTGGCTAAGCAATTTGATAAAAATATGGAAGAACTAGGTGTAATTCAAGAACAAAATTATGGGAATCATGATTTTACCCAGGTGATTTCAGAAACAGAGACTGTAAATGATTATAAAGATAATATGCATATGCAATCATCATGTCATATGGTTCCTGGAATAAGTAGTGCTGTTGTGCCGGTGAAGGAAAATGCCACGATGTCTATAGGAAATGATCTAAGTAACTGTCCGAAGTCCTTTGACCAAAGTGTGGAAGCGGCCTTTAATGCCATTTTTGATGGCTCCACTCAGAAGTGTAGTGGACAGTTAAGCCAAGATCCACCAAATGTTCTTTTGAACACTGGTGGCACTACCTTTGCAAAGAAGAACAAAGAGGAGAAAATTGTTACTAAAGACACTCTGGTTACTGTAAAACTGCAAAGCCAAACCCCAGAATCGTTTTCTTCTCTAGTAGATACTCCTGTTATGACAAAACCATGCAGGACTTCTTGTGCCAAGGAACTAAATATGCACATCGATCCTTTTGCTACCAGTGATTTTGAGGAAGACTGGGACACGTTACTCAGAAATGACCCTTTTATGATGCCTGAACTACTCCCTGTGCCTAAAACAACTCATGGTGCTGTTCCCAAGGACACTGATACTTGCAACAGGAAAAATGATCAGAGTAAGTCAGTAGCAAACACAAAGTCAGAGGTCAGATTAGGTGATACAAAAATTTTACATAGTCTTCCTTCAAAGACTTGTAACACAGACTTAATAGATTCTGTACAGCATAAATATTTGCCAGACTCAAATAATAACCCAAACCAGCTATCATCCACTAAACATAAAATGAGATTTGGGGAAACTTACAATAAAGTTCTTAAAAGTAAAATTCAAGATTGTGACCTTGCATCTAGTATAACAAAAATAAAAGATGTTCCTCCTACATTTTCTCCTGTTGTGAATACTTCTGAAAATAAATTTTCTCCGAACACAAGATATTTTCATGAACCAAAAAATAAGCTCATCTTCAATCAGTCCTTTAACATAGATTTGTTTGGTTCTGGAACTTCAGCCAGTGGAACAAAACCAGATAGTAAGACGAATGCACCAAATTCAGGTCCTTTTTTTGATGATTGGAACGATGCTTCATTTGCCAATGAAATTATTGAAGCATGCCGTCAGGTGGAGGATATCTGGGAAACAGACACACTGGATGATGATTTGTTATACAAAGCCTGTGATGATATTGAAAGATTAACTCAGCAACAGGATGTTAGAAATGAGAGCAAAACATCACGAAGTACAGTTGAAATCAGTAGTTCCGAACATGGAGCTAAAAACGTATTTACTATATCTGAACAGGAAACTCGTTTGGGGCAATCAAAGCATTTGAATCTGGGCAACATTGCACTGCAAACATCTCCATTGGCAATTAGCTCACAAATAAATATGGTAGAGGAAAGGAAAACTTGTAGAAATCCTCCAAGTATTTTGAGTGCCAAAACAAGTTTGACTTTACACTGTAAGAACTCAGATGATGACATCAGTAATTTGCATGGCTCCTGGACTAACACTAATGTTCCAGTAAAAGTGAATAGTTCTAAATTGGTTCTTGGAGGAAATTCAAGTTTGAATATGAGTTCAGTTCAGATAGGTAAAGGAATTCGTACTGCTCCTCAGAAGTCAAATGCTCAACATCTGTCACATAGGCTGATGGGAGATGAAACTCAGGCTGATCGTAATAAAACAGTTAAATTTTCTAAGTATACATTTACCAAGACGAAAAATTCTCAGATTGGTTCTCCATTTAATCAGAATTGTGCAGCAGGAAGTATGTCTGATACTGACATTATATATAGCTTAGAAGGAAACAAAATTTCATGTGTCAACTCAGCACGCAAGGAAGACGCTCTTCAACACCAATCTGTGATGACACCTGAATTTTTGAAACAACCTTCGAAAGGTAGGTGTGAAATAATTTTCCTTTGAAAGTATCATCTTGGAAAGTAGTTGAGTTTGAGTAAAGAAGGAGAATAAAACTATTCAATATGAGGTTTAACAGGAGTTCTTAAAGTGATTCTTAAAAGTACTGAAGATAAGAAACCTTGGTAACAAAATGATGAAAACATTTGGCTGCTAATCTTGAAGTCACTGTATGAATTTTACAGAGAAAGTAGTATGCTTTTCAGAAGGTAACTTGGTATTCCTTTCCCAAATTTAATACATTGAGTGACAGTAAATTTTGTAGACTACTGATTTCCAGGAAACACACTAATACTTAAGTATATTGCTGGTTTAGGTGTTTAAATAGTTCATTATGTTGAAAAGAGCATTCTTATGCTTGCTTTTAACAGAGAACATTGAAATAAACAGTATTTGAAAATTTTGAGCAGAGCAGCTGGTGGATTTGAATGGCTTTCTTTGGGTTGTCAGTGCAGCTTCTTACCACTAGGCCACCCATTCTCCCTCAACTGAATATCTTTGTTGACAGAATATCTGATAAAAAAACTCACAGTTGTGACAGATTACAGTTTATTTATGTAATATAACTTGTCATCTTTAATTCTCATTTATTTTCTCTTTTCCGGTTCTGTGTTCTTGCAATGCAATATATTCCATTGTTTCTACCTCAAAAATTAATTTTAAAACTGTATTTTCTCATTCTTGCTTATGTTCTTGTTCAAGCCCACATTCCGTGACTGGACTGCTGTAGTTCTAATACCTGTCCCTTTCACTTGTAGTCTGCACACACAGCATAATATTTTGAAAACAAATTAGCAAGCCTGGCATTCAAGTGTCTAAAATAAAAATTAATACCGACTGCTCATATTTTAAGTAAAATACTGACTTTATTCTTGCCAGCCTTTCATTAATCTGCTTGTCCATCGTATCCTTTTTCTTCGACCTGCAGCAGCTCTGTGGGGAAAGGATTGGCAGTCTCCTCCCATGCAGTTTACTGTCTCTGTGGGTTCGTTCCAACTTGATGGCGCACAACAACAGCAACAGCTCCTATACTCAACTATCATGTGTGTCTGTTTTCCTCAGAAAGTTCCTTCAGTTACTTTCTTCAGAAAGTTTGGCCGTGTCGTCGTTTTGCTTAAAAGAACTCCCTCCCAATCTCCAACTCTCCTGTACCTGCTTTTTTTGATTGGGGCTTTCTTACCCTTTGGCTTCAAATTAACTTTTCTCTCGCATTCAGAGCTTCTTTGACCAGTCTGTATTATATCAACTTGTTGTTATGTGCCATCGAGTTGTTTGTGACTCCTAGCGACCCTATGTACAAGAGCCCTGAACGCTGTTCTATCCTGTGCCAACCTCGCTCTCTCAAACACATTCATTCCCACCACTCCACTCACAGAATCGATCCATCTCATCAAGGATCTTCCTCTCCTGCGTCGTCCCTCCATTCTCCCAAACATGATGTCCCTCTCCAAGGACCAGTCCCTCCTTGCAACATGCCCAAAGTATGTCAGATGAAGCTTCAGAATCCTTGACTCCAAGAAGCACTCCGGCTTCACCCTCTCCAGGACAAACCTGTTTGTTCTAGCAGTCCATGGTACTTACTGCTTGTTATTTTCTATCTTAACTTATTTTTTTAAATCACTGATTACAATTACGTATTTCTTTACTTTGGCCTGTCTTATCAGTGAATGCCTAGCCTTACCAGTGTCTAGGGAACTCTAGTGGCCTGCTTATAGTTTTTTCTGTTTTTTGTTAAGTCACAAAGTGTAAACACTGTGTATGAGTACATAAGCTGAATCCCTTGTTCTAAGCTTTGAGGCCAAATAATAATAAATCAAACTAATTAGAAAATATCTTTTAGTATCTTTCTGTAAGGAAAAATTGCTAAAACCTGTGAGCTCATTAGCTTAGAAAGAAAAGATTTATTAAAATAATCTGGAAGGTTTACCTAAAATATGTATCTCTTATCTTAAATTTCAGCCTCCATTTCTAATTATATCAGGAGAGGAAAAGAGTACAGATGATGTTTTTGGGACCATATTTTTTCTTATTTAACAAGAGAAATATTTACTAACAAATATTGAACCTTTATGCAGATGTAAATGTGAATAATATTTCTGATGATAGTATTTTATAGATTCTTTTCTGAAGGACATTTTTATAAACAATTTTACCAGTTATCATTAGTTTGATTATGTGTTAGGGTGTTGGTCATAAATTAGAAATAGGATTTAAATGGAAAAATAAGTTTGTTAATTTAAAAATTTTATTCTTACTAGCTTTATATAAGTATTCTGTATTTCAGCTAACAATACCTTAACTGTGGAATTAATTCATTTTTTCAGAACTCAGTATTTTGCCAAAAAAAGGAATTGGATGTGTTACTAACGTAGTGTTTTCTTCTCTTTTTTGCTTGTGGATAAGGAGTTAAAATCCACAAGCTGCTCTTCCTGAGAAAGATGGGAAGTCTCCTGTGGGGTTTACAACATCTGAAAACTGACTGGAGGGTCAACTATGAGTCTGTACTTTGGAGTTGGCACTAACTCACAGCTTACCTTCCATTAAGTTTCCAGGACTGTAGTGTTGCTTGGGAGGAGACTGTCCATATTTTCCCACAAAGTAGTTGGCGAGTTTGGGGTGCCAGAGAAGGTCGGTTTGGCAAATTGCCTCTGAGTTCTGTTTGGTAGTTTACTATGATTTAATTGCCAAAGTAACCTGGCAAACGTGATACTAAAAATATGGCCATACTCAGATTAACCTCATGATATATAAAACTGCTGTTTAAATATTTTGTTTGTGTTTTCAGAAGATGATGAGAAAAATAGAAAATGTTCTCCTGAAGAAATTCAGAAAAAAAGACAAGAAGCCTTGGTGCGAAGAATGAGAAAAGCCCGCGCTTCCTCCCTGAATGCAGCGCCCACGTGACTCCTCTGGAGAAGTGCTGGTTGGAAGGCACAACAAAGACTGCTGATGACTATCTGGGATAGGAATTTTTTTTCTTGAATTCTCTGTGAGAAATTTAATGCTGAGTTATAAAGCATGGACTTTTCCTTTATTATTTAATAAATCAGTGCGATGTTAAATGTCACCTTTCCTTACAGACATATGTAAGTTTTAGCTGTTCAGGAAAGTTAGCAAGTAGTAGAATTGTATATCCTTAAAATGTAGACAGTCTAAAGTTGTTGTGATAAGTCTTTCCTAACACCAAGCTGTAGCTTTCTAAGATAGAGGCTATTTTATATCATTTTAATAATCATTGCTTATATTTTTTCTAGATTTCTGCATTTTAATTAATACTTCCATGTTTCTAAGAATATAATTGGTAGTACAGAAAAGACTTATTTAAGAAATAAGGAAGTTGCAAATATTCTGTATATTTCCAAATGTGATATATTTTGAAGTCTTTCCAATATCTTTAAGAAAAAAATACTTATTTAAGATGCCTCCTTTAGAAAAGGGAAGATTCGAAACACTACAGATTGAATGTCCGTATCATGTGGTATAGCTTCATTATTGAATAGATGATAAAATGATTACTACTAATCCCAACGTCACAACACAAGTTAACATTTGCAGAGAGTCAAATGATTTCTTTGGTCACCTAGACAATTACATCATTTCCTTCAGAATACAATTTGTTTGAGGGGTTATTAAATATTTGTAGTATGAAGCTTAAAAACATAATTTAAAGCACATTAAGGACTTTCGCTATCGTGCTTATTTCTGCTTATTAAAGAATGAATCTTCCCAGGTTATAATAGTGAGAATCTTTTTTTTTTCTTTTTTAATTATTTTTAGCTTCTCATAGCAGTATTTTTGTCCTTGATCTGATTTTACTAATTTTCTTCTCCATAACTTCTTCTCTCCCCTTTCTGCGTGTTTGTAACTTGTTAAGCAAGAAATAGAAATTTAACCAAGGAGCAAAACCAGAAAAGACATTTTATTACTCACATAGATTTTTTTAAGAAAATTGTAGTTGTAAAATAACCTAATTTCATAATGTTTACCACTATTCAGTCAGCTAAGGTTCATAATAATACAGAAATAATTAAGTTCATTTTGAATTATTGTTGTGTCACTGTAATAACAATGTAAAATCCATCTTGAGGGTTTTCTTCTTATCTGACCGTTCATCTTTCCAAGCACGATGTCCTTCTCCAAGGACCAGCCTCTCCTAACACATGGCAGAAATGTGTGAGACAAGAGTTTACCATCCTAGCCTCCAAGGAGCACTGTGGTTTCACTTTTTCCAGGACAGACCTGTTTATTCTCTTGACAGTCCATCGGATATTCAGTATTCTTCTCTAATACCACAATTCAAAAGCATCGAGTCTTCTGTGATTTAATTGTCATTGTCCAATTTCGAGGTGCATAGGAAGCAATTCTAGATATCATGGCTTGGATCAGTGCACTTTATTTTTTGTGTGGCATTTTTTTGGTTGGGTTTTTTTGGATGTTTGTTTGTTGTTTTTTTTTTGTTTGTTTTGTTTTTTTTTTTTATGAACTCAAAGAAGCTTTATTAAAGGAGTTCCCAGGCAGGATTCCTTGGTCTAGACAGAGAGAGGGAGGGAGAGATAAACAGAGAGACAGAGACAGACCAGGGAAAGAAACTGCCAGCACTTTATTTTTTAAACTGCCATCGTTGCTCTATAGCATTTTGGAGAGGTCCCAGACAATAGATTTTCCTAGTGTGAATTGATTTCTTGACTGCTAGTACCAAGGGTGTTGATTGTGGATCCAATTAACATTGAGTCCTTGATAACTGCAGTCTTAATCTAATATAATGTTGCCTATTGGCATCATAAGCAAAATCAGAGACAGTTAACCAGCTCCCACCCACCGCTGATTGTAGAGGAAATCAAATACCGTTAATTAGCTTCCCACCCACAGCTGATTGTAAACTAATTGTACACAGAGTTGCTGTACCAGAGGAATTGACACTGAAAAATTTCAGGAAGTATCTTATGAACAGGAGGCAAAGGTAATGAAGGAGGAAGTAGAAGCTGCATTGAAGGCATTGACAAAAAATAAGGTCCCAGGAATCGATGAGATACCAATTGACTTGTTTGAATTAACACATGCAGCCTTGGATGCACTCACCAGTTTGCCAGGAAATTTGGAGGACAACTGTCTCGCTAATGGATTGTATGAGGTCCATATTTGTTCCCATTCCCAAGAAGGAAGATCCAACTGAATGTAGAAATTGTTGTTGTTGTTACGTGCCATCGAGTCGTTTCCGACTCATAGCGACCATATGCACAACAGCTCTAAACCCTGCTCTATCCTGCGCCAACCGCACTGCCTCTGACACACCCATCCCGATTACCCCAGTCACTGAATCAATCCATCTCATAGAGGGTCTTCCCCTCCTGCGCTGTCCCTCCACCCTCCCAAGCATGATGTCCCTCTCCAAGGACCCGTCCCTCCTGGCAACATGTCCAAAGTATGTCAGACGAAGCCCCAGAATCCTTGCCTCCAAGGAGTAGCTTGGTTTAATCGTCTCCAAGATGAATCTGTTTGTTTTCCTGGCAGTCCATGGTACATTCAGTACTCTTCTCCAGCACCACAGCTCAAAAGCATCCACTCTCCTTCTGTCCTCCCTAGTCATTGTCCAACTCTCTGATGCATAACAAGCGATTGCAAATTCCATGACCTATATCAGGCGCACCTTAGTCTCCAGAGAGACACTGTTGCTCCTGAGTACCTTTGAGAGGTCCCTAACGGCAGTGTTTCCCATCGTGATACGCTTTTTGATTTCCTGACTGCTGGTGCCAAGAGTGTTGACTGTGGAGCCGAGCAAACTGAAGCTGTGAACACTCTCAATCTCTTCATCATCCATCCTGACGCTGCCAATTGGTCCAGTGGCGAGAATCTTTGTCTTCTTGACGTTGAGCCTTAGTCCATACTGAAGGCTGCAGTCCTTGACCCTTCGCAGAAAGTGCATGAGGTCCAAGCTGAAGATCATTAAAAAACAGAACAGTACATAAATAAGGAACTACCAGTAATTGGTTGGGTTTTTTTTTTTTTTAGTTTCTTAAAGATTTCATTTTACTTGAATTCACTATCAACACCCATGAAAACAGCAGTCAAGAAATCAAATGGAATATTGAATTGGTTGAATCTCCTGCCAGGGACATCTTTTAAAGTGCTGAAGAGCAAAGAAGCCATGTTAGAAATTAAGATGTGCCATGGCATTTTTAAAAAAAAATTTTTTTTGAGATTTTAAACAGGATTTAGAAGAGTCCATGGCACCAGGGATATCATTGCTATTGCCAGATGGATCCTGGCTTAAAGTAAGGAATACCAGAAGAATGTCTATTTGTTTTTTATTGACTGTGCAAAGGCATTTGATGGTGTGGATCATGACAGGTTGTGGCTGACATTTAGAAGAATGGGAATCCCAGAGCACTTAACTGTGCTCATGTGGAACCTATACCTGTATCAGGAGGCTGTTGTGCGAATAGGAGCAGGGGAGCACTGCGTGATTTGGAATTGGGAAGGGAGTGTGTCAAGGTTGTGTTCTCTTTCCATACCTATTCAGTCTGTATGCTGAGCAAATTATCTGAGGAGCTGGACTCTGAGGAGGAGTGTGGCATCAGGATTGGAGGGAGACTCATTGATAACCTGAGTTATGCATATGACACAACCTTGCTTGCTGAAAGTGATGAGGGCCTGAAACACTTGTTGCAGAAGATTAAGGAATGCAGCCTTCAGTATAGATTGTCTTGGAGAGGGTGCAGCTGGAGTGCTCTTTGGAGGCAAGAATGATGAGTCTTTGCCTCACGTACTTTGGACATGTTGCTGGGAGGGACTATTTCTTGGAGGGGGACATGATATTGGGAAGGATGGAGAGTCAGCGAAGGAGAGGAAAATCCTCAACCAGGCAGACTGACACACTGACTGCTGCAATGGGCTCTAATGTGTCAGGAAATGTGAGGATGGTGCAGGATAGAACTTTTTTTCTGAGACAGATCTTTTGTTCATAGGGTCATTATGAGTTGTGCTCGACTCCACAGCACCTAACATCAACAACTGACATCGTGGTAAAGATTCTTATTTTCTTGATACCCAAGGCGTGATCTTTGTTGAAGGCAGTAGTCTTCCGTCTCCGTCTTCATCAGCAAGCACTTCAAGCCATCCTCACTTTCACCAAGCAAGGTTGTATATTCTGCATAACATAGGTTGTTGAGTCTTCCTCTGGTCCCATTTTCTTCATAAAGTCTGCTTTCTCACATGATTTATTGAATATACAGATTAAAATTGAATAGGTAAGGATACAGCCCTGACATGTATCTTTGTTAATTTTATTCTATGCAGTGTTCCCTTGCTCTCTTCACATAACCCCTTAATTGAGGAATGGGTTACACATGAGCACAGTTGTTTTAGATTTCCATTTTTCTGAATGTTAGCCATAATTTGTTGCAATCCACACAGTCAAATGGATTTTCTTAGAAAATAAAACATGAGTAGACGTACTTTTGGTAGTCTCTGCTTTCAGCCAAGCTCAATCTGGCATAAGCTGTGATATCCTTGGTGCAGGGGCTTCTTCCAAACCCAGCTTGGATTTCTGGCAGTTCTCTGTTAATGGACTGTTGTAGCCGTTTTTAAAGAACCTTCAAGATTTTACTTGCATATGCTATGAGTGATACTGTTCAATAATTTCTACATTCGATTGGTTCATCTTTTTTTGGAATGGAAATAAATAATGTGTTTCTTCCAGTCATTTGACCTGATATGTGTCTTAAAGATTTGGAACAGCTTGGTGAGCACATCCAGGGCTAAATCTATTTGTTGGAATGTATCAATTGGTATTCCTTCATTTCCTGGGATGTTGTATTTTGTCTGTGCCTTCAGTGCAACTTGAGCTTCTTCAGTTATTATAATTGGTTCTTAATCATATGCTACTTCCAGAAATGGTAATAGGT